CGGGACTCGAAATTCAATAAATCTAGGAGCAAACCTAGAAAAAGAGTTGCGAGTAGCAAACATCATCAATACCAGCTAACATCATCACACGCCTCGCCAAAGATAAGCAGTTCCAGCCATCATATTACGGGCGAGTTAATTAAATGTTTGGCCAAATATAACAGGCTAATTTTTAAGTTGATAATTTGTATGGCCCGCGAATGATGTTATAAATATCCAAATGGCCCTTGGCAGAAAAAAGGTTCCCCACCCCTGCTCTAGGGTGTGACGTGTCCTTGTCCGGCCTGCTTACTATTTGAACAGTCAATACAACGCGTTTAATATTGTTACTTCTCGGCTCCACGCAGTGCTCTCTCTCTCTCTCTGTGTCTCTCAGCGTTATTCCAAGCACGCGCTTCTCCATTCTTTTCTGTGGACATTTCAGCTTTTGTTCCTTTCGATTTTGTCAATGTCTATGTTTCTCATCTGTGTGTCATAGCAGGCAACTTGGGCTGATTGAAAATTTTATTTTCCAGGCACACTGGTATGATTATATTCATGATCATACTGAACGATTTGATTTGGAATAAAATATTTATGCCGTTCTAACTATCCAAGGAACAGCTATTCCCCTTGCTGAGCGGAAAAATGTACCTGGTGTTATGAATGCATCTGCTTTTTCTAAAGCCCAGCGTCAGATGTTGCATATATAATTCACATCCGCCGAACTCTCCCGGACGATGATGGATGGAAATGCCTTGGGCCCCCATCAGCAGATGGCATGGAACGCACGGACAATCACGGTATCTACGTTTGGATTTTCAGCCGACGTTTTGTGTCGTGGGCGTGGGCAGGTCACGTCCCGGCTAGAAGCAGCGGTGGCGGCTGGTTCGCGTCTCGTGACGGAGTGGCGGGCCAAAGGGAGGGAACGCGCCCTAGAGGGCGTCAACCACGGAGATGGAGCGGTGAAATCAGCTCGTGCTGGATGGATTTTTGCATCTCTGGACCGCGAGAGATTGCAATGCATTGGGGAGGCCGTCATCCAGCAGTCGATTTGATTGATTATTACGTGATTACGACGCTTCGAATAATTCACGAGATTCATAATTCGTGCGTACGGTCTCGTTTTGTCGATGCCCCACTGCCCCCTCTGTGATCCCATTCTTCCATCTCTCCCTTTACATTTTTTTTATAAACCTATACAGATGATGCCACAGCCCCTGGGGTTGATGTTGCTGGTCAGGTCATCTGGAAATAATCGCACAATTTTTCCCCTCGCCCTCAAGGTCCTAACCCTGGTGACAGCCCCGGTTAAATCAACAGACAGAATCTGCTGGATGTCACCGACTCTGCACGCGCCAGAGACCCATCACTGTGCCGTCAGCGGGACTTGCCACTCGGAAATTTACTCGACGTGAGAATGTAATAATAATAGTTTAAATAATTATTTAGAGTGCTTGTTCAGTCTTCCTGCTGGACCAACGCCTCTCTGTGCCATGGGGGTCGTTTCTCCATCCTCGGGAATTCATTTCCACCGGGTCTGTCTTGGCCGGTTACTCCCGTAAAACCACTCCAAGTGTACCTCATGCCGTGGCTGCAGCTCCGGGTGAAGTGTCGACGAGCACCCTGGAAAATATTCGGCGAGGCTATAAACCCTGACTCTACTTCACCGCTTTGGTTGGTGCAAGTCGGTGAAGCGTGGCACCCAGGACCAGTTCAGATTATGACTCGTCACAGATGTCGGCCGTGACCCGGAATTCGAAATCGGGTCGCCAGGTTCGTCAAGCAGTACGAACCACTGCGCCACTACTCCACCAATTTTACGAATTATAATCATTCAAATATCAATAATTTCAGCGAGTGAGAGCCCATTGGGGTGACAAGTCTCTTTTTGCCAGGGGAGACCGGCGTAAATAGGAATTTGCAGGAGATGCAGCAAATTGTGGGTGTTTACGCTGTGGAGTGCTTGGCAATGGTTGAACATGTCACTGAAATAAACTGTTTATTGTATTTTAACTTAAACTGCTCCAGGGTTACAAACTCTAAACGGCTGCTTCGTAAGAACTGTGGGGGGGGGGGGGGCATTTCAAGGACAGCTGAAATTGAAGTATCCCTGTACATTTACAACAAGCGACAAAAGTAAACCACCGGCACGCGCGTGCGCATTTGTGTGCGCGCGCTAAGTAATTTGAAGTTGAATAACAATTTCTTCAAAGCCGTCTTCATCAGTTTATGTCAAGGAAGCAATCGAGTCGTTCACAGGTCCAGCGGTGTTCATTTTGTCCGTGTATCAAACCGTAAAAAAATAGCCCCCACTCGCTTTATCGCCCACGCGATTCGACCGTAGCAGAACAAAGACGGAAGAGAGGCTGGGCAAAGGAGCCCTCCTTCCTCTTGCCACCAAGACGGGTTTAATTAAATCGCGTGTCCCGCTTCGGCCACAATGCCACCTGTTCTTCGGCCTCGGCGTGGCTGGGTGCTATTTCCAAGCGAACGGACCCACCTCCGCCGACGTGAGGCCTTGGGAAAGTTTATTTCACAAAAGCGCTCTCGGCTTCAAGAATGTTTTGGCACCCGAGTGCCAGGGGGAGGGAGGGGGGGGAGGGACTCCTGGCCGTCTCCCATCGCCGAGTGTTACTTTTCGTACCTGTCGCTGTTCCCAGAGTCGCACGTAATGCCGCCCCCACCCCTAGCTACCTCCCCCCCCCTCCCTCACCGCCCCCCCCCAATGTCTTCTCTGGTTCGGCAGCAGCAAGCAATAGACATTTTAAATATCAAGCGAGTAGAAACTCGATGTAGATGTAGAAAAAAAATCCTGCATTTGGACCGCGCGCAATTTTTAACCACAGCGACGTTCTTCACAGGTGACGATAATCATTTTTGGTTTTGCCAATTGTCAGTGCGGACAACCTCATCAGTGAGGGATTTTCTAGGTGAAATACCCAAGTCATGATAATGATAGTAATATTATAGGCATTATCACGGTGACGTGAACGTACACTGGATATCAAATGCCTGCAGATGACTACTTAAAGATGGAAAAACACGTCACGAGAGTTCACCGCTGAAACATTGAAAACTGTAGAGGCCAGCTCAACTGCATTGTGAAGTTGGCAAAAGAACAGCGTGTGATGTGATACAAACACATTTGAAATTTCCCGAGAGGCTTCACTCGACCACATCTCGGTGGGCAATGCAGGACGGAAGGGACACCGGTCATCGATGGGTAAAAAGATGGGACGCGTATGTTTTGTGGTTAGCGCGCTGCGCGACGAACCCAGCGACCCGAGTTCGACTCCCTCTCGCGGTCAACACCAGTGGCGATTATCTGAACCAGTCCTGGGCCTCCCCTAGGTCGACTCAGCAAAAAAATGAGTACCTAGTGCGGCGTGTAGACATTGCCACTGCGGAGACAAAGGCGGCCGGGCGTGGTGCTGGCCACCCACCCCGTTGTGTACCGTGCGGGCCTTCATAGGCGCTCGCTAACAGCACTTGCTCTAACAGTCTGTTAAGGCTATATGGGGGATCTTTGTCTTTGTGTGTGTATATAAATATGTATTTTCGTGTGCGTGCATGTGCTCGCACCAATGAGCGGAGAACCGGGTTGCTAAAACGTCGTGAGATGGCACAGTGGGGAGTGCGGGTGGTACGCCTGACAGTGATCTGAGTCAAGTTAACCTATAGCACCTGGGTCTGTCCCATCACCTGTCCGCGAGAATGTGAGACTTCACGTGGCGCAAAGTGCACCTAGCTTGGCACAAGCATCGCCGTGACGCCACTGCCACATCGTGGTGAATGGGATTTAACATTTGTGTTTGTGTACCTGTGGGATTGTGCAACTGCGATGCGTATTTGCTGGTATTTTCTTGTTTAAACGTCAATAAATAATTGCCGTAAAGTCTATTTTTAATGGCCTGTGCGGGCTTTCCCCAGGCTAAACTGTTTACAGGCAATTACTGTAATTAAAATGTACGTTAGAAAAAAATCCTGTATGGATCGGTTAGTGTACCATGTCTTAGTGAATGGGCCCTTTCCTGGAGGCATCAGGCAGTTTAGACAGCACGCCTCTGACTTTCCTGACCAGACACTGCATGTCGCAATCGGTCCAGAGTTTTGCTTGCGTTGATCCAATGCTCCTTGGAGGGCCGTGTTGTTGATGGGATGTCTAAAGGGTGCATCTTTAGGTTTTTTTGTTTTGTTTTTTACGTGGAGAGACAAATGCAGGAATTATGTGCTATGTATTTCGTTATGAAGAGTCTCCACATTGATGCTGAACGATCGGTTTCCGTTGTATACCCAGGGAGATTTATAATTTAAACACGTTATTCACATTTCCATGGATATCACGAGAATAAAGCAATATCCCCATACGTTATTTTGCTGAATGTTTTCACCTGAACGTGTGTTTTTTCGGTTTATTTATGGCTTTTGACCGCTCGGCGTCGTAATCGTTGCCCATTATTCTCCTTGCAAAATGTTTCGAGTTTATTTTTGTAACTCAACTCCCCTTTCAAAGGGACTGCAAATCGATGGCATCTCACACGATCATAAACAATTAAACGGCGCATTCACAAACCCACGACTTTACGAATTGTTTAACATTATTACATCGGTACACGTGCGCGCGCACACACTTGCAATCGACCTGCAGGCCTTTTGTAGAATTTTTTTTTTTATTAACGAAACTCTGCTTTTGTTGTTGTTGTTGTTGTTGTCGTAAGCGGGAAGCGCTTGCCAATGTCGTCCGCCCCGTGCAGTTTGTAAGGGGGTGGTGGATTTGACACTCGCACGGGGTGTCACTTTCCAGGGCACGCGGGCTGAGGAAGCCGAGGCAGCTCCCGCTATTGTCACACCTCCGCTTGCGTAACGTGTCACTTTATCACCAGCCACTTGAAACGGCAACACGTTTTTTGGTATGGAAGTGTCACCTGCGAATTCTCCGAAAGGAGTTTATATGTCGGGATGGCACAGGCACAACTCAGACCGACTCCGACCACACCGCCGAGGCAACTTCACTCAAGATGTGTGCCGACCAGCTCGCCGCTCCCGAGGCCAGCAGCCCCGGCTGCGCTCACCCCACCGCGGCGGCCGTCGCGGTCATCGCCGGCAAGGGCAAATCCGGCGGCTACACCCGCATCAACAAGCCGGCGGCGTCCTACACGGCCCTCATCGCCACCGCCATCCAGGACTCGCCGCAGAAGAAGCTGACGCTGTTGGAGATCATCGGGCGGCTGCAGCAGCAGTACGAGTGCTTCAACGGCGCCTACAAGGGCTGGAAGAACAGCGTCCGCCACACGCTGAGCGTCAACAAGTGCTTCGTCAAGGTGCCTCGCGACGCCAGCCGCCCTTACGCCAAGGACAACTTCTGGACGCTGGCGGCCGTCGAGTCGACTACGTGAACGCCGACGGCACCTTCCGACCGCGCAGGCGACGCGCCGGCGGCAAGCGGAGGGCGCGGCCGACGAGAGCGGCAGCCCGGACAGCGCCAAGTCGGCGTCCTCGCCCCGGCACCCCGACGGCAGAGAGGCGAGCGGGAGCCGCGACTCGCCGCCGCCGCCGCCCCCGCCGGCGAGCGGCAGCCCCGGGCAGTCGAGCACGAAGTTCAGCGGGCCCTTCTCCATCGAGAGCCTGCTGCTGCCCTCGAAGGGCGAGTCGCAGGCGGCCGTGGCGAGGGCGAGACGGGCGTTCGCGTTCGCCGGCGCGGAGGCGCGCTGGGACGTGGCGGCGTTCGGGCTGCTTGCCCACGAACGGGCTCGCCTGGCGCTGGCGGACACGCTTGCGCTGCTGCCCCTGCAGCAGCAGCAGCAACAGCAGCAGCGCGGCGCGTGCGGCTGCCCGTGGCCGGCAGCCAGCGAGCTGATCTGTGGCTGCCAGGTAACCTATCCTGGCACGAGAGCGGAGGGCGCGGCGTACGGATTCGCGTCGGCGGCGGCGTACATCGGCATGCCGCTGGCGTTCGGCAGCAGCAGCAGCAGCGGGAACTTCTCGCAGCCCGTGTGCTAGGGGGCGAGAGCCGCGGGGTTCTGTCCGCGAGGGAGCGGGCTCAGGCGAGCTTTGTACATGTCGTTCTGAAGTTTGCCTTGTTGTTTTGATTGGAGGAAAAAAAAATCGCTTTTAAATTCAGGGCTGCAACTTAACTTGGTTGCAATGTTTCCGTGTACGCTGAACGTGGTTGTGTGGAAGAGCCTAGGACAGCTTTGAGCTTTGTCCTTTTTTCCCCCAAGAAAGGAAAAATCTAAAATGTGTCAAATTGTCAAACTAGCTTGGGGTGGTGCTAATATCCGCTGATGGGCCTTGGACCATAAGTGACGGAAATTCAACAATCCTATGCCAGGGGCAAACGCCCACTACTTGGGGCTGATGATGTTTAATAACCTGATGGGATTGGGTGAAACATCAAGCAGAAGATAAACTGCAGATCACTGCGCTACAGCTGCCAGAATTACGACCACCCCTGACACTCAATTCCCCGGGCTGCCATGGATGAAGTTTCGTTTCAGCCCTGAAACGTTTAGATATTATTATTTTCATCCCATATACGTTAGCACTTCTCAAAATATATTTTTGAAAATACATACATATTATTTCACCTGCATTGTCGTTAATTTTGCTGATGTTTTTGTTCACGCGTTTGCTTATCCAATAGTATTTAGTATACGGTATATTGATATTTACATTAGCTTTCTGTCCTTAGATAAAATTTAGTTTTATATATATTGTGTAGAGACATACGAATTAAAAATGAGGCTAATTCCATCTATTTATTCGATCGTTCTAGCGCAGCGGTCGGCAACCGAATTCCGTAAAAATAAAACCGAACTCGATATATATTCTTGGTTGTTTCGGTAAAGTCAGGTAGAAGTGAGAATTTTATTGTTTTATATTTTTATTATTTTATTGTTTCCCTTCTACGTGACTTTACCGAAAGAACCAAGAATATGAATCCCTGCAGTCACGAAAGCTTTAAATCGAAAATCGAACTCGATATTTCAAGAAGCCGCAGTGCAACGTGATACATACGGGAGACGGCTGGTAGCCCATTCAAGAGCCGCGTGCGGCCTCGCAGCCGCACAACGCGTGGCGTTTTGACTGTAAATGTCTCCACGATGATTACGACTCGGGATCGTGTTCACGTCATATATATTTTAAAGACAAGAATGTAGATGGAATTCAAAGCCTTTTATATAATGTTTCTTTTTTAACGCCCATACCCGTGTGATTATCTATTTGAATTTATATTTGTTCGTCCTGTGATGAGAGACGTGGACGCGGCGTGCGGAGAGAAAAGAGAGGTACCCTCTCGTACGTGGAGTGTGCGTCGTGTGTGCTTGTGCTTTTGAGAGGCGTGTCTTCTGTCCGCGGTTTATTTAAAGTGCGTGCGCGTTTCTTGTCGGGCTCCGCCAGGGCGAAGCTTGTACGTGTTGAGTGCTCTCATAGACATTAATATTATTTTCCTATATATCATTTATAATAAAAATAAAATACAATGTATGGAAAACGTCGCCGTGCCTCCAGCGTGTGGTGAACGCGTCCGCGTGCCCCAAGCGCCATTTACTTGACTGTGATGGTTTGCAAAAACAAAACATTCTCACGTGTACTGCGTTGCCCGCAGCCGTTGCCTACAGATAATGGATAACTGACGAAAACTATTGCCACCAGTGATGTATACGTAAAACATTTTTTTATCCGGGACATAGCGTTGAAAGAATAATAGCTCACAAGAGTGGGAAAGTGGAAACAGACATGTACATATTCATTTTCTTTAGTGAACGAGTGGCGTATTGTTAAGCAGCTGGCAAAAAAACCGGGACTTTAAATGCACTTGGGGAAAACTTACAACATTCCAAAGACCTGCTCGCTCAAAGAGAGGACAATCTTTAGAAAACCAGGACAGGTGGCAACTATAGCCAGGGCTGCGAATCCAACTCAGTAGCCTGGATTATTAGCAAAGTGCGCAAACCTCAGCCTGCACCGCTATCCCCTCCACCTTTCTACCGCTCCACCCCTCAACCCCTCCATCGCGTCAGTATAAATGTGTCGAAACCCTCCACCACCCGACACGGCCAATTAGTAAGGGATTTGTCTATTCTGGCAAATAGCCCAATGATGCTGGATGTAATTACCAGCGAAACGTCGCACTCAGATTGTAAATGTTGTTGATTCACTCTCCAACACACCGGTGGGCTGAAGTAGCAACTAATTGGCGTTTTGTTTATGCGACAAATCCCTTACTGATTGGCTGCGTCGGGTGGTGGAGGGGTTTCCACACATTCACGCTTACGCGATCTAACCCAAAAAAACATTATTATGAACAAAATAAACGCATTAACAATCACTTCGCGTGATATCGCAGGTCTCAAACCTGCCCGCCGAGTGGCGACACAGCGTATCATCGGCCATCCCTCCGATATTCGGCCACGGTAGGAGCGAAAAATTCGCAGCTTTTTTTCTCTTCTTCAGAGATGCACGGTTCGAATCGGGCAGTCGGCACTGATGAACGCCGCGGTGTGTAGAGACCGTAAAAACACGCGCCGTCTGCTGCACGCGTGCACGTTAAAGATTCGGGTTTTGTTTCATGATTCGGAGAGGAGAGCTGGCCATTGAGTGCCGGGAGTCACGGTCCAAGTTTTAAACATTTGAAAAAGATTACACCGTAAAATTATCCATAATAGAAGGGGTTTTTTTGTGGTTAGATGGCGTAAATATAAATGTGTCGTTAAACCCGCCACCACCCGACACAGCCGATTAGTAAGGGTTGTCACGTAAACAGAACATGCCAATTCATTACTAGTACAGCACACTGATGTGTCGGAGAGTAAATACATAACATTTACAATTCGAGTACGACGTTTCGCCAGTAATTACAAATAGCATTATCAGGCGACAGCCAGATTTTGAAGAAATCCTCCTCCTTCGCTCTTAAACAGATGGATAAATGTGATGTCGTCACTTGTGAGCAAATCAGGTGCAAAGGCCAGAGGGGGTGGTGGGATCGTTAATGTAGCACGTGAATTACGAGGCATATCCATTGCCGGTTGGCTTATTCATAGGCTAATCGTATGATGAAGGCCGCTTGTGTTGTGGCCGAAACGTCGTGAGAATATTATTGTGTTATTTTATTTTATCAATTTATTATTTTATTCTCATTCTACGTGACTTACCGAAAGAACCAAAGAAGACTTAAAATTACTCTTTGGTTTTTTCGGTAAAGTCACGTAGAAATGAGAAATAATAATAAAATTACATAATAGCATACGACGTTTCGATTGCAACGCAAGCAATCATCATCAGGCACAGAAGAGTTAAATTTAAGAGAGAGAGGAAACACGGAACCGCAGATATATATACAGACACCTAAGCAGAGGGAGTTAACACAGAGACACAAAGGGACGCAACTTTGCAATCGAAACGTCGTATGCTATTATGTAATTTTATTATTATTTCTTATTTCTACGTGACTTTACCGAAAAAAAACAAAGAGTAATTCCTGCAGTCACGAAAGCACCAAATCAAGTCTAATCGTAAAATTGCTCAGTTGGGGAACAATCGTCTCCCGCTACCGTGAGAACTTGGTAGCAACCCTCCCGAACAAAAATCGCGCGACTCAATTGGGGCTTTCCTGGGTAAAACGAGCGTAATAACCGTACAAGTCACGTTTTGCTCAAATGAGGGGGTGAGGCGGTGCTCAGCTGATCCGGTCTACAATACTCTGTATTAGTCTTCGGGTCTGTGGATCTCTGTGGGTCTCCGATTGAGTCTGTGTCTCTGTGTAAGTTCTGGGATCTCAGTTTTGAGTATATCAGTCTTTGTGCCTCCGTGTGTATCTACGTGTCTCTATACAAGTCATTGTCTGCGTGCGAGTCTATGGGTCTATATGTGAGTCTGCATGTGAGAAAGCACTGGATGATAGCCACTACCAGCACATTGCAGAATCTCAACGAATCCACGTGCATGCATCATCATCATCATCACGTGAGAGTGGAAAACCCGGAGTGGACTTTTCTCCCTACGCATTCCTGTCAACCCACACGGTTTACCCCGTATTCTTGATTTAAAGCTTTCGTGACTGCAGTAATTCATATTCTTAGCTCTTTCGGTAAAGTCACGTTGAAGGGAAACAATAAAATAATAAAATATATATAAAACAATAAAACATTCTCACGACGTTTCGACCATAACACAAACGGTCGTAATTAATGCAAACCGACACACCTGATGACGACCGTTTGTGTTATGGTCGAAACGTCGTGAGAATGTTTATTGTTTTATATATATTTTATTATTTTATTGTTTCCCTTCAACGTGACTTTACCGAAAGAGCTAAGAATATCAATTACCCCGTATTCTTGTAAAGGGAAATTGAGTTTTCACGTCCGTACGGCGTACAGCCGTTTCAATACGGGCAAGAACAAACGACTTGTATCTATTTGTTTGTGTTTCTCCCTCGTGATGGGACTTTGTAGAATGTACGTTGAGATTTATAAGGGGGCACGGGGTGACCAATAAGATCTGAATTGGTCTGTAATAAGGTAGGGCACTGATAAGGGGTTTGACGGCTATGCCTACGCGACCTTGAGCCGCGCAGCTCCGTACACAGTTTGGAACCTGCGGAAGCGTAAACGTTTACAAGCGGCTCGTTTCAAACGGGACGCACTTAAACAGTTTACAATTCAGCAGCTCCACGCAAACTGTGACGGTGCAGCGCTTCCCACCGCAAACAGCCCTAGTGGCACGATTCCGGGGGTGCCATGAGCCCCCCACCCCCTCCAACCGCCCCCCTTCTGAGAGCGGTGGTGGAGCTGGCCCCCTAAGGGTGGGTGGGGGGCTCTTAGCAGAAATAATTTTAGCCCCCCCCCCTCACCACCCTCTCCTTGCTATGCACTGTAGAGTATAAACTCCGAGTCAGATAGACGCGTGACGGAGCTTCCTTTCGTGGCCATAAGACGTAGCTCAGCGTGTTGGTCAAAAACACCGTGGCATTACAAGAGGGGGGGCGGGGTGGG